TGGATTCCTCTAATATTTTTATGGTTTCCCGTCTTACATTTAAGTCCTTTATCCATTTTGAGTTTATTTTTGTGTATGGTGTAAGTTGGTGGTCTAGTTTATTTTTTTTTTTTTGCATGTATCTGTCCAATTTTTCCAACACCATTTATTGAAGAGACTGTCTTGACTCCATTGTATGTTCATGCCAGATGAGTGGATATTTTAATGTGAGGTGCTCAGATGAATTTAAAGAAAGTGTTATGTGGACTTTTGTAAAGGTTTGACAGACCCTGATGGTGTGTTGAATAAATAAACACTGACATAAGTACAGTGAGATTCGCTAGTCTATGAGAGTTTGCCAGTATCTTTTTGGTTAAGATCATAGCTTTTAGCATACTATTTTTGCTTGAAATTAGTTTTTAATGTGGATCTGTCCAAATGATTTTTAAAAATTATTTTGAAGGATGATTTGAATGATTTGTATATAAAGTATTAAAAATAAAAACTAGATTCATAAATTAAAAGGTTGTACTTATTAAATAGAATAATATAAGTTCTTGAAGGTTAACACATTCAAACTATGAATAGAAATAGATGCAAATACTAGAAAGAATGTTAGTTGTGAAAGAATTCTTCCCCTAAGGATCCATTCAAATGCTCTAAATTATAAAATTTATTAGGAAAAAAGGAATAACGGCCAGGTATTCATTTATACTTGCCAATCTTCTGCTTGTCTCCTAAAACTTCCCCCAAGTTTCTTGTGGATAAGGATTCTGTGGAATGCAACACCCATTTTCTAGTTCTAAGAGGGTAATAGCCTGAATGTCACCAATATATCAGTAATCAAAAAGTCCACTACTGCCTGGTCAGTTAGAGCAACAATAAAAAGGTAAGGTTTCGTATTTAAACATTTAAGGTTCCCTCTATAATGCGTGACTCAACCATTTTGTAGTTCTGCATTTTTGTGTATTGAATTTTCTCAGAACGGGAGTTTAACTGTTTTCATAAAAAGTAAAATTTACAGCAAAGATTACATATTGATAAATCTTCTCCCTCCCTATTCACTTCAGAATTTTGTAGGTTTCAAATTGCTACACACTGATTTTAAAAGTCAGCTTTAGCTATTTTAGTAAACTCTTACATTAACTGATCATTCGTGTGTTTAAGAATGAGTTTCTAAAATAGATATTTTGATGTTCTTAATAGTTTTATTCTTTTTAGGAATTTATATGTAGTGTATGGCTGGTTTTGCTATGGTTTAATAATCCAATGTAATGGGGGGAAAATCAAGGTTTAATGTTAAAATACTAAGATTCAAACTTTGATTCAGTCACAGATTATTTATGTTTTTAGCAAATGATCCTAATTGAGTCTCATTATACTCATCAGTAAAATACGGCTAAAATGATCACCTCCATTTCATAGGATCCTTGAGGGATCAACTATGATAATACATATAAAAACAATTTTGAACTATAATAATAATATGATAGCTTTATTGAACATTATTCTATCTTTTTAATATGTTTTATTGATTTTTAGAGAGAGAGGAATGGAGAGGGAAAAAGATAAATGATGTGAGAGAAAAACATTCATTGGTTGCCTCCTGTACGCACTCTGACCAGGGACTGAACCTGCAACCTGGGCATGTGCCCTGACCTGGAATTGAACTGGCAACCTTGTGGTTCAGGGGATAATGCTCAACCAATTGAGACACACTGGCCAGGGCTTGAGCATTATTCTAAATGCTTTCTATGTGTTAGAATGTCTAATCTTCACAGCTTGATTTTTATCCCTACTTAACAGAACAAGATACTAAGGCACAGAATTTGTAAAAAACAACAACAAAAATACACATGCTAAAAAAACTAACATGTCTAAGACCACATAGATATAAATGGCGGAGTTGGCATTTGAACCAGTCTCTCTTCAGAGCTTGTGCTCATAACCACTGTACCATAGCAGATTATATTAAAGAACCAAACAGAAGTAAAGGTATTAAGAAGACTTTTCAAGTGGATAATGTGTCCAAAAAAATCATCTGAAAGATTTTCTCTATTTTTCTCCTGCAGTCGTTCTACTGACAGTTGTATTCAACTATTATTGTTAGTATTTTATATTTATCTTTATTGTTGAAAGTATTACAGATGTTCCCTTTTTCCCCCATTGACCCCCTCCACCTCTCGTCGTCCCTCAAGCCTTCACCGCACTATTGTGTCCATGGGTTATGCATCTCCTATATAATAAAAAAGAAACATGCAAATTAACCATCCCTCCGCTATGCTCAAGCCATGCCCACCAGCCAATTAAGAGTGAGTATGCAAATTAACCCAACTAAGATGGCGGTGGCCACAGAGCTGGAGCGAGCAGGAGGCTTGGGTTGCCCCTGGTGATGGAGGAAGCCATGCTTCCCACCTGCCCTGGGCTCTTCTCAAGGCTACAAAGTTTCAATTATAGAAGATAAATAAATCCCAGAAAAAAGAAAAAGAAAAAAAGGAGAGGCTGGGAGCTTGGGTCACTGGGGGGCGTGGCCAGCCTGAAAATGGCCATCAGACCCTCACCAAGGCTGGCCAGGCACCCCAGCAGGACTTCCCCACCCTGAAGGGGGTTGGCCAGCCTGAAAACAGCTCTTAGCCCCTCACCCAGGCTGGTCAGGCACCCCAGCGGAACCCTCCCCATCCTGAAGGGGCTGTGGCCAGCCTGCAAACAGCCATCAGCCCCTCACCCAGGCTGGCCAGACACCCCAGCGGGGATCTCCACCCTGAAGGCAGGGTGGCCAGCCTGAAAACAGCCCTCAGCCCCTCACCCGGGCTGGCCAGGCACCCCAGTGGAACCCCCCATCCTGATCCGGGACACCCTTCAGGGAAAACCAGTCAGCCCCCATTCATGCACCAGGCCTCTATCTACACTAATAAAAGAGGAACGTGCAAATTGGTGTCACTCTGCTACGCCCACCAGCCAATCGGATGAGTATGCAGGTGCAGAGCGAAGCCTGAAAGCTCTGGCCGGACTGAAGACTGAAGACTGAAGACTTAAGAAGACTGAAGCCAAGCCTCGCTGTGACTGGACCAAAGGCCTGGGTCCCGAGTGCCAGAGGAAAACCGGTGCCGGCAGCCAGGGGAAGGAAGGCTTATTGCATGAATCTTCGTGCAGTGGGCTTCTAGTAAACATATAAGTTCTTTAGCTAATATCCCTTCACCCTCCTCCCCCAACCACGCCTTTCCTCTGAGATTTCAACTGTTGTTTTTTTTGTTTGTGTTTTTTTTTTAGTTGAGCATTCAGTTTGCTGTTGTGGTGAAGTTTCCTCCATTGTGGCATGTTCTCTTTCTGATCATTCGTGTATATGAATA